CATTGTACAGGGCTGAAATTTTTACCATAGCCTCCCCACTCCAAAACCTATCTCGGGTCAGGTACATGCAAATTGACTGAAATTTTTAGGGTATGTTAGGATTGTAGTGGAGAGGCTATGGTAAAAATTTCAGCCCTGTACCATGACGTTGAAGGGAGATATTCACCAAAGAAGGGGCAAAAATAGCTCATTTGGGGACCCAAATTTCTCGGTCCCGGCTCGTGCTATATCCTTAATTTTTTTTTGTTTGAAAGAGCATGTCAGGATGCATCGCCAGCCAGAGCCCTTTTTTTTTATTCTTACTTTTTTAACGGAGAAAAGGGATTACAAGTTCAATGACTCAAAAAACGCGCCAAAAATGGGTGTTTATTTCAAAAGTACTTGTATATATTCTAGAAGGAAAGCTTAATTTAAAAAAAGGACTCTGGTAGGCGACGAAGCTTGACATGCTCTTTCGAACAAAAATAAAATAAAATATATCCAATGAGTCTGGACAGAGAATTCTTGGAAACACGATCAAAAAAGTATAAACTGAGAAAAAACGAAAAACATTTTTCGATTTTTCCAAAAACAGCTGGTTTTTCGAATAGAGGTTGACGGAAATCTTGAAAATTTTTTGGGAAAAATGAAGGGTGTGGGTGTGGGTGGGTGTGGGTGTGGAGTGTGGGCGTGGGGTGGGTGTGGATGTGGATGTGGGTGTGGGCGGGTGTGGGACGGGTGTGGGCGTTGATGTGTATGTGGATGTGGATGAAGAAAAGAGACACCCACACCCACACCCACACCCACACCCCACACCCACACCCACACCCCACACCCGCACCCACACCCACACACCCACACCCACACCCACACCCCACACCCACACCCACACCCTACTATCATAGTTTCTTTATGTTGTTTTATATTTTAATTCCGTAGAAATTTTCATGAAAGACTTTTTTAATGAAAATATTTCTTTTTTCGCTAATAAAATGAATTTTTATTTTAGTTATTCATGGTAGAAAATCTCAATGCGCTAGTGTCATATTTCCGAATGAAGAATGTGTAAATAGAATTATGAGAAATCGACATATTAATATTCGAGGCCATACACTAATTGTATCACGGCAGATTCCAAGAAAAATACATTTATCTCATCAAATTACATGTGGTCTTAAAGTTGAAATATCATCAAACAGTATAAATTCAAATGAAACTTTACAAATCGATGTTACAAAATATTTTCAACAATATGGTAAAATAAACTATTATGAATATATAGGCAATAATAAAGTATACTTCATATTTGACGAGTAAGAAGCATTTTGCTGATTGAAAATGTTGACGATTAATTTTTGTTTATATTTCAGTTATGATATAGTTGATCGAATTATGCTAGAAAAAACTCAACATACATACAAAGGATTTTCTTTAACTATTGAAAAAGTTCGATTGCCGGATGACAGACGTAAGTATGTCATACAACAGTCTGACATAAAATTTGAAGAAAAACTCATTGATTATATGTTTATCTGATGATTCATCGGAGAGCATTTTTACACATTGTTTCGAATTCATAGCCTCACAACAAGTAAATCTCTATGGAATGAAGAACAGTCTGAAAATTTTTTAAAATATGACCTGTTAAGAAAGATTCGCAAACAGTACGGTAGTTTTTTGACTAGTGGAAAACCAGTTATTTATAGCAATACTATATATACTGATGCATCAAATAGACATAAGACATCTGCTGAAAATCTCTGGCAAAAGAGCTATTAGTATTAGTTATATTTATTTCAATTCTCTATCAAAGAAAAAATAAAATTGTCGTCTGTATCCTCCCGACTCTTCAATTGTCCCACTACACAGAACAATTTTTTCTGCATGTTTCAATAATAATACAAGCTTTCAGTTTGAGATTTGACTATAATTTAAGCCCTTCAACTTACATGTGCATAATTTATTTCTACTATCACGTTGTACAACTTCATAAAAACAAGGAACTATTTTTGCAGCACTTATTGTAAACACAAACGTATCTTAAAAGTATATGGCGATTGCTTCAAACTAACACTATTAACAATAGCATTTTTATCAAGTCACATTGATAAAATAATTTAAATAAGCTACGAACGGTGATCGTAGGATACACCATTCTTTCATAAGGAAAAAGTACCTTCTCCACTGTTAATTTTATAGAAGAACACATATTCCAATTAGAACGATTATACATAAACGCAAGGGGGAAAAGCGGATTCCGCCTATCCGGGATACGATGGGGATCCAAAGGATATGGAGGATCCAGAGGATACGGCAGAGATACAGAGGATACCTGTGAGACGTATAATATAATATTCGATGCAGTCAACAAAATCCACATTATATAGGATAAATCAAGGAGGGAAAGCTGAGTTTTTTAGATTTACTCAGTTTTATATCAAATATTTTAAAAAACTCAAAAAATCTCAAAATACTAAATTTCCAATCAAAGGAGATGTGTCAGAGTATGGATTTAGTGTCACAAAAAATCTGAACCGTATTTTATTATCCTGAGAATCAACATTCATCCCTGATCATTTTTCACATGTTTATTTTATACTTCATAATCACTCATTTTTTAATATCTGGGTAGGGGTGGCACTTTATCTTTACTTTACCAAGTAAAGTCAAGTAAACTAACTTTTCTTTACTTTATTTTACTTTTTTAAAGTAAAATAAAGACAAAGTGCTACCCCTGTACTTGGAGTCCCCCTCAGGGCATCGAAAAAAATGAACTTCACCAAAACAACAATTTCCAAATGTAGACACCTCTGATTTTGCCTTCACATGGAATTATAAGAGTTCGGAATTGTGTTTTCGTATACAAAACGGATTTTCTGTGAAGTTCATTTTTTCAAAATCCCTGAGGGGAGCTAAGCTGAAAAATTCACACGAAAAAATAAGTCTTAGAAACAATTTGAAACACACGTAGGTCAACTCAGTTTTTTTGTGCTAATTTCAAGTATGGTTTTTTTTCAAGTCAGACCTAGTATCTTCTATTCGAAAGTCATCGTATACTGTCCAAAAGAGTTCTCAAGTATAGTAAATATAGGACAGCCAAAATAATCATTATTTGTAGCAATATGACCCGATCGGGGAAGTATTCGGCGATTATCGCTTCGAAAAAATTCGAATGACATATTCCTGCATGTAAATTCTGATAGAGTAAAAACCTCTGCGTCGAATGAGCCTATTTTTTGGAATCAGATTTAAATATCGATGGACTTTGAGGTCAAAAACTTGTTTGTAGGGCTTTCAGAAAGTGATTCAGATGTTCCTTATTGTCCGAGAAACTTTAAAAAAATGCAATATTTTTAATCAGCACATTGAACTCTATCAAACGAGAAGTGCTTTCACGAAAACCAAGACAAGAGATGTTTTTCGATCCCTGAGGGGAACCCCAGGTATTAAAAAATGAGTGATTATGAAATATAAAATAAACACGTAAAAAATGATTAGAAATGAATGCTTGATTCTCTGGACAATAAAATTAGGTCCGAATTTTTTGCGGTACTAAATCTATAATCTGACACATCTATTTTTTTTCAAAACTCTAAATCACTCAAAAAACTCAGTTTTCAACTTTTCCCGTTTGGGAAAAAAGCGGATCCCGGAATCCTCTGTATTCTCAATATATCGCCTTTAACCTCTGTATCCATCGTAATTCATATTTCAGTTCCGTAAAAAATAACATTAAAAGTTTTTTGTGTATATTTGAGCTGCTTCAATGGAATTCATATTTGAAATTTGTTAGTAAACTATATCATGTAAAAAAAAGAAATATTTTCTACAAGAAATTGTGTATCTTCATGTTCATTCAGGTACAATCGTTGGTTCAGACGTTACCGAATATTGTATTCATGTTACGAATATGCCAACAAATGTTACTGGTGAAGATTTATCAAGAATTTTCCGAGTGGATATTGCCAATATTCTTATACGACCATATAATGAATTAAATGATCATCTAGTTGAAGATAATCGTATACAAGTTGAAGCTTGGATAAAAGAGATTGGCAGCGAGCAATCAGCACAAAAATTGGCAGGAGAAAAAAATGGATTTTATTTGCGTGGTTTCAAAATTCAATGTCAAGTTATTCGTGTACCATTGAAAATATTTGAATTATGTAGACATTTTCAACAAGGAACATGTTCATATTCAATATGTTGTGAAATGAAACATATACGATGTGTTCAACCGGTTACATGCGAAAATAATCAATGTTGGTATGGACATGATTCAGAGCGCATTACAAAGTCAATACGTCGACCTACATCACGTAATTGAAAACAACAATAATATATTTTGACATAGTTTTTATGTTATCCTATACTTTTCTAATTATATTATTTATAGGTGATGATTGCTATCGTGTACGAATAGCAAATTTTCCACCGAATGCAACACGACCAGAAATATTCAAACGTCTACAAGTGAACTCTGCTCGAATCCAAGAAAATCTTATTTTATGCAATGAATCGAGTTCGACAGAACCAATAATTGCCTATGTTATCGATCAAAAATCAGAGATTATAGTTAAAAAATTAATTCATTCATGGCACAATCAACTATTTTCGACAGATCAACCGTATAGAATGAAATGTCAGTTAGAAATCAATGTTGAATATTTCAACTCAACTATTGGAATTTCTATATCGTTAACACCACAAATTCAAAGTCGAACTCCATCGATAATTTCAAGTACTGACAGTATGAAAGTTCGTAAAGCAACAACAAGACTCGATTTACAAAACCGATTTGCACAATTAAAAATTATGAGCAATATAGACCATAATGAAGATGATCAGTCATATTCAAATATTGAACTGATGAATGAAGTGAACATAATTGAACTTCCATCTTCGTGGGATTGGGAAAATGCAACGTTATTGAAAGGAAGAATCAACGAAACAAGTCGTGTCTATTTAGTTAGCGATCAAACAGACAGAAATAAACAGGCTGAAATTAGAATCTATTCGACTATGTCCGATAGAACATCACGATTGCGTATACAACGACATCGAATTGTTCTCGAACGATTGAAAGGTAAACATATATATGTGAACCGATTACATAGAACAATTAGAATTTATAATGATTCGACTTTGTTCATTTGACAGCATGTGATTCTACATATCGTCGTATTAAATCTACTTATAGATTATTTTAAGACGATTATCATAATAGAATATTGAAAAAGATGGTTGATCATATGTTCTATTTCTAGCTGTTGAAAATTAACTTTCAGACCTCTTAAAGACAGTCTGACCTTGGTTACATGATGAGTTTGATGAACATTCTGAAATTATATTTCAAATAAAATGTAAAAATCTGATATGATTCCATTCACTTTTGTTATCTATCACGAAAAACTAATGAACTATTTAATTAATTCATGTTTTTTTTTCTTTATTGAAATGAAGAAACTAAATAATTCTTTTATTGTTTTAGAAATTGATGGAGTACCAAAATTGATCGATTGTAATTATGATACATTAACAAATAATTCGAAAATATCTACAAAACTATGGATTATAACGGAAGCAATCGAAGGTATCACACTTGATCAATATGTTGCTGGAAATGAACCTAAATTTCCAGAGATTATTAATATTATTTTACTATTAATCAATTTAGTAAAAGATATTCATGAACAAAATGTCGTTCATCGAAATCTAACGCCTAGAAATATTTTTATTCATCGTACGAATTCAATCGAAGGTGATCAATTTCATTTGAAATTAATCAATTTTGATCTTGCTCATATTGATGAGAAGAAGATCAACAGTAAGAATCAAAATATCTGGTCTCGTGATAATAATCAATTAAAAAATGATTTCTATCAAATGCCACAGTTCGAAGTAAAACCATTGAATAATAATGATATTGATGACGAAATTCAACAAATTGATTCCGAACGACAAAGTAAAACCATTGATGCAACTTTTATTTGTGCTTTACTCTTCTGGATGATTACATTACATGAACCGAAAGATTCACGAAATATAGACAGAAAAGCACCGCATGAATTAAATGAACATATTCAATTAATTCAACATGAACTAAAACGAGTAGCAGGTAAAAATAAAACTTCATTTTTTGTTTACGATCATAAATCTAAGCAATCGATTTAACTTTAGTTCGAAATTCAAGAAAATTTCATTCATTATGGAGACATCTTACACTTATATTCGATCGTGGATTTGCAAAACCACAACTACAATGGTCAATTAATGAACTTCAACATCAAATTCAATTGATATTCGAATTAATAACGAACATGAAAAATTACGATGATAGTATTCAACAATCATTGACAACTTCAATGGTATCAAATGAATTATTCATTCGTTTAGCATCATTTATCAATATAATCAAGCATCATTTTGTAACTCATTGTGTTTGGTTTGATTCCATACGTTGGTCACTAAATGAAAATAATCGATGGTCAGGTAATAATCAAATAATTCATAATGATGATATTCTTATCGTTGGAGAACATGAATTACCAATCAAATTGAATATTATTCGATTAGAAAATGAGAAGAACCTTAAAATATGTATGGAAATCAAAATGAATGAGATGAATACTGTCGAATTACCATTCGATGTATGGCGAGAAGATGAAATCGAAAATGAACTCGGAACTATTATGAATATATTCATCATGGAATTTATGAACTTTTATAATGCATTTATAGAATAGAATATCTAACTAGTAATGAAGTATTAAATTGGAACAAGAGAAAAATAAAAATAAAATCTTGAATTAATTTTTTACAACAGGTTTGTTACAAAAACAGTCGAATTTGTTACGACAATTAATATGAAAATAAGATTGATATGAATAAACATTTTTCCAAACAATTTTAACAATAGTTTAGATATGAATCTTTTAAAAGAAAACGAAACCATGATATTTTATATTAAGTCGTATAAGTCAAAATTAATTAGTAAATCATTGTTATAAAGTAGTAACACGATCAGAATAACGAAGAACTCATCTAAACTATCCCTCAACTAACCTAGGTTTGTGGAATATGTTTGCTTTTTCTAAGGATACTCTGAATTCAAAAATCGAATGCTTAGTAATATGAAAAGATGTATTATAAAAAATATTCTATTCTAAAATATCCCATCTAACCACTAAAAGTTCTATGAAAGTAATATTTATGAAGATTATTTCAAAAGTTTAGAGACCATTTTGAATTGGGTTTTGTATTTTATTGAAGATATACATTATGAAACATCACATTTATACTCAAAACTTACTGATGATATCTAACTATTACTAATCGCTTCTTCATTGACTTCACTTTGTTGAGATGAGAAGAAAAACCTAAAAAAAATTTGACTATTCAATTTCGTTCTACATAATGAATAGCAAGACGGAAGGTTGACATTATAGCTAACGTTCGATCATTTAACGTATATCTGTATTTCCTATATCACAGGAAAGTATTTTGATGGATGCATTAAAAATTTAAAGCATGAATCATATCAAAACATTCATTTTAGATTGTCGATCTGTCAACTGACTATACGAAGAGTATGGAATGTATGCATCGATGTGTCTATGGTTGAACAAAAGAGTCATATGCATATTCATCCTTACAATTGCCTTTTGTAGAAGATATATACGTATATATTAGACTAGAAATCATTGAAGAAAATCTTGGTTTGATCACATATAGGTTTATAAAAACTCAGATGCTAGACCTGTTGCGGTGCTTAGAACTGATATAGAGTTATTAGAGTACTAGTAAAGAGAGGTTGCGAAAAATCCTACAAGACAGTCTATTAATCAACGTGCCAAAGTAATCAATTGAATTTGCTTTGAAACTCACTGTTCTTACCAAGAACGGGTGTGCAATGGTCTACATCTGAAAATGCATTTCTTAACTAGTGCATGCCTTTTATAAGCTTATGCAGTTTTACTTTTCGTCAGCCGCTGCATCAGCAGTCATTATGAGTATGTTCGACAAAAAGACATGTGAGACTGCAAACCTATCGATCCAATGACACATCGGATTAGGCGAATTGCATCGTTACATTATTATATAAGTACATTGTGAACAAGTATTGAGTGATAAATATTTTTCCTATCTTTGTCTTCATATCAACATAAGCGCACACTTAGCAGATACTGTTTATTAAACCCTTTAAACCTATATACCCACAGGTCTATAAATCTAGAGCCACATACATTCTTGCTATACTGTGGATTTTTCGAGTGAATAACCCAATAATTTCTCATACACATTATAGCCAGTGAGGAACATATTGAGGAAATGAAGGGCTTCTGAACTGATGCACCCACACACCATCATTTTAGTCGGAACGAGTAGCTTTCAGCTAGGTGTTCTTAGACTTTCTATCGATGCGTCGTGTCTAGCGACGTACGTGTATTATAACTGGTAAAACATTTATATTATTCGAACTCATGATTAAGGCTGTACGAAACAAGTGAATGAAGACCTCCGAGCAAACTGATCAGCCCATATTTTAGATCTGTTTTTAAATAAAAAGAAATATTAGTTGTCAAATAAACTGTTAATAAATTATTTTAATGGCTATGAATAATAGCATAAAAAATCTGGATTTTTGTATTTGATGATACGAGTTTATCATATATACTTAGGTTCACTGATAAATTGAAATAAAAATATGCTTAAACAGCATGTTTCACTGTTGTCATGATCCAATCATAATAATAAGGCACATTGGTGTAGATATCGGGCCATGTACTATTCCAGCCACATCTATTCGTCAGCGACGCCACACCTACCTGTTGCCAATAGTAAGTCTCTGTGTTAGTTAAACGCATTCGTCTCATCAACGGCCCGCCACTGTCTCCGCGACAAATGTTGTGACCCGGATTCCCAGCACACATTTGTCCGGGATGCAAGGTATATTCTGATTCAAATATTCCTGAGCAGTTGGGGTTCGATGTTGGCATGTAAGCGACTTTGACTTGTTGCAGATATTTGGGAACTCTTAAAGTTTCAGGTTGACCGGAAGTACGACCCCATCCAATGGCCACAAGTTCTTCAGTCGCTTGTAGGAGAGAAGAATTTGGAGTTGCTAAACAAATAGGACTAACATATGAATCAAAACGAAAAGCCTCTTCGGTTGTGAGAATGGCTAGATCGTTATAGGCATTGGCGTTATAGCCTTCATGAATATAGACTTTATTGACGAAATGGGTGTCAGTTAAAGAGGTATTAAAATTCCTTGCGTGTTGACCTGCAAATAGAAATATGTTTGGGGGCAAGTAACCATGGACACAATGTGCTGCGGTAAGAACATGTCTTTGTGTGAGTAAAGTGGCACCGCAACTCGTTGATAATTTCGTTTCTGGATCGTAGGCGAGTAAGAATAGTTGCCAAGGCCAAGAGTGTGCGCGTACCGTTTCTCCATTAACAATACGTGCTGTAGCCACTTTCATTTCATTATTGAAAAAGGGCTCAATCGATGGGCAACCACATTCACAGGGCTCGTAGAGAGGACTCACAGACGAGATCGTTGAGGTAGAAAATGTGGTACTACTACTTGTATCCTTTTGCGTTGCTTTCACACCAATGGTAAAAACAAGAGCGATGCTGATGGCAAGAGCAATAATGAGAAGAAGAGCAATGATGAATAGGACGATGATTCCACGTATCATTTTTGTATGCTTTTGTTGGGGTTCTCGCGTTGAAGCACTGTTCGTGTTTAGATTGGTGTTGTTGTGTTGGACGATGTGATCAAGAGAAGGCAATCGCTGGTTTTTCATCACGGTTATACGATAAACTAAAGTAATTCCATTTAATATTTTAAATTTTAGCATAGTCATCACCAATCGTCATAGGGAAAAAGTGTATATTTCCTACGCTATATCATGAAAGCATATACTGTTTTTTACTGTTTTGAAATTCTTAGTCCTCATATGTTGTCATTGTTTTTCATTTTATAAAGGCACAATAAATAAAATATAATTGCTTATTCAGAATGAGAAAAAACAAATTGGAAAATACGGAATATGTCATTCTTGCGAGAAAAAAAACTGTCTCGATCCTGTTTAAACCTCGTTTTTTTTTGTTGCTTCAGTTCTAATTAGCTTCATTCCTGTCGTGGCGTACATGGGAGCAGTTCCATCAATTTTTAGTCTAACTACTCATCAAGTAGTATACGCTCGATCAATGAAAACTGACCAAGTCGGAAAACAGGAGTAGGCAAAGATGTCTGTTGTTTGAAAGAAGCTTGATCAAAAGTAATCGATGACAAAGGCACATATAGTGGGGAATTATAGTTAGATAGAATGCCCAGACTCAATGTTGAGAAATTTATCTTTTTCCATAAACAGCAATACAGATTCAATGTCTGATCTATGACAGAATATTTCGCTTTGATTTTTGTTTTGTGCTATTCACTTGCTAATCCATCAAAAAATTAACCGAAAAAACTTCAGCTCAATTAAATACTTAAAGCAAAAGTTTATTTTCTTGCAATAGAGTTGATGATTTTGTTGTATTTTCCCGAATACCATAGATAAACAGTAATGGCTTAAAATATAGCAGTTTTTTCACTGTTGAACATCTATCAGAATATTCTGTTCTAAGGTAAAAATTCGTCATTGATATGACTGTCAAATTTGTAGAAGAACAAGAAATCTCACCACTTTAAAGACAAATCTAGCAATCTTAAACAGGATACTCGTTTTCAGAAACTATTTTCCAGCTATTTTTGAATTTGTTACCTCAAAATGTTGCATGGTATGGTATGCTGTATTATAAGAAAAATTAGAGTTTTTTACTCTAAATACAACGTCTCACGAACAGGGCAAGATCCATAAGTGTGAATATGAGATTTTGAATTAGCTACATACCAGATTGAAGAACAGGGCATGCTGATCACAGTGACATATAGAGTTTTCCCCATGAGATCAGTCTAAGAAAAGGTACCCTACGAAGCCTTTAAAAAATTCTGATTGTGATTATATTTCTGAAACCCTTTAATA